CCCCCGCCCGGGGCAGCCTCTGTGCAGAGCAGGGGCTGCCCGGAGCTGTTCCCTACAAGACTGGTTGTGAGCAGAGGAAAGTGGCTGCCAGTGTCCAAGGTTTGCAGGGAGTGGGCCAGTGACATATGCGGAGTCAGAGGGGGAGCTGGCAGGGGGTTCAGACCGAGAGGGCAGTGAGGCAGGGGAAGGTGGGTACGCGGGGCCCCAGCCCCAGGATCAGCTGCACTGCATCCTCACTCCAGCTCCAGCAACTGTCTGCCACACAGCTCGCCCAGGGAGTAGGGCAGCCACCATGTGGCCCTGGATGACGCTCCAACTCAGGGGAAGGGCTGGAGCTGGCCCAATCCCTGGCAGCCACCACCCACCATGCAGCTCGCCCCAAGAGCACCTGGGCAGCCACCACACAGCCCTGGCCCCAGCATATGGGGCAGCCGTCCCGCACGTGGCCCTGCCCCAGCAGCAACTGGGCAGCCACCATAGGAGAACATAAGAACGGCTGTACTGGGTCAGACCAAAGGTCTATCTAGCCCAGTATCCTGTTCTGCCGACAGTGGCCAGCACCAAGTGCCCCAGAGGGGGTGGACCGAAGACAATGATCTAGCGATTTGTCTCCTGCCATCCCTCTCCAGCCTCTGACAAACGGAAGCCAGGGGCACTATTCCTTACCCCCTGGCTAATAGCCTTTTATGGACCTAACCTCCATGAATTCATCTAGATTTTCAAAGAGGGCCAGATTTGATGAAGTGAACATGCGTGAGGGCCGACCATTTTGCCTGACATTCTTTGAACCATTAAAATTAAATGCAAATTAACTATTTTATGCAAAGTTTATTGCAAACGGCATACTTTTCATTTCGTCACATGGATGACAAATCTAAACAGGTGTTAAATCACTCTGCCTTTCATATCTGAAGGCCAGATGAAAAAAAAATCCAGGAAGCTGAAATATATGTCAGGAACATTGTAAAGTACATTACATATTATTGGTAATAAAGGTTGTCTGTCAACTTTTAAGTTCAAAAAATATGAACAGGAACATAACACCAAGTATACATGTTGTGTCCAAATATATTTATAACTGATTTAGACCAACTGACATTAACTGAGATTTTACAGTGTATTCATCTCAATACATATGGATTCATTGGGGGCCATAAAAGATAGATATTGACAAATTATCTGTGGGGCCGTATTAAACCGGAACACGGGCCGCAATTGGCCCGCGGGCCGGACTTTGGACGTGCCTGATCTAGATTTTTTTTAAACTCTGTAATAGTCCTAGCCTTCCACAGCCTCCCCCAGCAAGGAGTTCCACAGGTTGACTGTGTGCTGTATGAAAAAGAACTTTCTTTTATTAGTTTGAAACCTGCTACCCATTAATTTCACTTGGTCTCTGTCTTTCCCAATCTGCTTTATAAGCACAGTCTGAACACTACATAGGTAGAATCCATATTCAGCCTCTTAATAGGGTTTTGCTTTATTAAGGAAAGAATGCAACCAAAGGTTAAACCAATTCTTCTGCATAAATTTGGCTTCTTCTAGGATCGGGCCGGACTTTGGACGTGCCTGATCTAGATTTTTTTTAAACTCTGTAATAGTCCTAGCCTTCCACAGCCTCCCCCAGCAAGGAGTTCCACAGGTTGACTGTGTGCTGTATGAAAAAGAACTTTCTTTTATTAGTTTGAAACCTGCTACCCATTAATTTCACTTGGTCTCTTCTAGTTCTCATATTATGAGAACAAGTAAATAACTTTTCTTTATTCACCTTCTCCCCACCACTCATGATTTTATAGACCTCTATCATATCCCCCCTCCATCTCCTCTTTTCTAAGCTGAAAAGTCCTAGCCCTAATCATTTTAGTTGCCCTTTTCTGAACCTTTTTTAATGCCAAAATGTCTTTGAGGTGAGGAGATCATGACATCTGTATGCAGTATTCAAGATCTAGGGGCAGTAAGATATTCTGGGTCTTATTTTCTATCCCTTTCTTAATAATTCCTAACATCCCATTTGCCTTTTTGACCGCCGCTGCACACTGCGTGGATGTTTTCAGAGAACTATCGACGATAACTTCAAGATCTCTTTCCTGATCAGTCGTAGCCAAATTAGCCCCCATCATACTGTACGTACAGTTGGGGTTTACTTTACACTTATCCACAATAAATTTCATTTGCATTTTGTTGCCCAATTACTCAGTTTCGTGAGATGTTTTTGGAGTCCCTCACAGTCTGTTTCTGTCTTGACTATCTTAAACATACATGCAAACTTTACTACCTCACTGCTTACCCCTTTCTCCAGATCATTTATGAATAAGTTGAAAAGGATTGGTCCCAGGACTGACCCTTGGGGGACACCACTAGTTACCCCTCTCCAATCTGAAAATTTACCATTTATTCCTACCCTTTGTTTCCTGTCTTTTAACCAGTTCTCAATCCAAGAAAGGACCTTCCCTCTTCTCCCATGGCCGTGGAATTTACACAAGAGCCTTTGGTGAGGAACCTTGTCAAAGGCTTTCTGGAAATCTAAGTATACTATATCTACTGGATCCCCCTTGTCTGCATGTTTGTTAAACCCTGCAAAGAATTATAATAGCTTAGTAAGACAGGATTTCCCATTACTGAAACCATGTTGACTTTTGCCCAACGAACTATGTTCTTCTACATGTCTGACAATTTTATTCTTTAGTCCTGTTTCAACTAATTTGCCCGGTACTGACGTTAGACTTACCGGTCGGTAATTGCCAGGATCGCCTCTACAGCCCTTTTTAAATATTGGCGTTATGTTACCTGTCTTCCAGTCCTTGGGCACAGAAGCTGATTTAAAGGATAGGTTACAAACCACAGTTAATAGTTCCGCAGTTTCCCATTTGAGTCCTTTTAGAACCCTTGGATGAATGCCATCCGGTCCCGGTGATTGGTTAACATTAAGTTTTTCTGTTTGTTCCAAAACCTCCTCTAATGACACTTCAATCCGGGACAGTTCCTCAGATTCATCACCCACAAAGGATGGTGCAGATTTGGGAATCTCCCTAACGTCCTCAGCCGTGAAGACTGAAGCAAAGAAATCATTTAGTTTCTCCGCAATGGCTTTATCGTCCTTGATTGCTCCTTTTATAGCTCGATCTAGGGGACCCACAAGTTTTTGAGCAGGCTTCCTGCTTCTAATGTACTTACACATTTTTCTTTTTGAGTTTTTGGAAAGCTGTTGCTCAAAATCTTTTTTGGCTTTTCTTATTACAAAGAAAAGCCTGGCCCCTCACTCTCCCACCAAACCCACCACCACCAGCTCCCCTTCCAGGAAGGGAAGTGCTGCCATGCGGCTCTGCTGAGGAGGTGGGTGGGATTCAAGTTCTTTGTGTGGAGCCATGCGGGTGCGCACCTAGCGGGAATTTCGGTGGTAGGCCCTGCTGAAGGGCAGTATCCTGAGAAAGGCACCATGGAACTGGATTGACGCAGGTCCAGAGCTTAAGGGTAGAGAAAGTGCGGTGAGGACAGGCAAGCCGCCAGCCAGGGAAGGGCACTGTGCTAAGGCCTGAGCAGATTCGCAGAGCGAGCAGCAGGAGGTACCACAATGATGAGACTCAACCCTGTTACAATAACTACTCTTAGGGGCTCTACAACTGGAGCACTGAGTGTGCCTAACACCCATCAAAAGGAACAGTACCTCTCTGTCATCCAATGTCATTGGCACCTAAGGACGTGTTTTGTAATCTGACAATTCATTTTTTCTGAGGCTGAAGAATGGAGATTTTTGCTGTAGCAGTATTTGGCTGGACTGTGCATGCGTGGCGGTGTCTCGCGGCGTTGACATGCTTTTGTGAGGTGGCGCAGTCCGGCTCCTGCCAGTTCCTTGAAGCTGCCTAGGAATCTGGAAGACACAAGGAAAACAAAGACTCCAAAGCAGGGAGGAGGGGGGTAGCGGAGCACCCACAATGCCCAACAATAAAACCCCAGGCATGGACGGGCTGACCGTGGAGTTCTACTGCGTGTTCTGGGGTGTCCGCGGCCCAGACCTCGTTACCGTCTGGGTCGAGTCCTTGGAAAGCGGGGTCCTCTCTCTTGTTGCTAAAGAGGGGGGACCTCCGCGACCTACGGAACTGGCATCCCGTCTCGCTCCTCAGCACAGACTACAAAGTTGCAGCGAAGGCCATCTTGCTGCGACTGTGGTCCGTGCTGGCGGACATGATCCATCCCGACCAGACCTACACCGTCCCGGGCCATAGCATCTTTGATAATTTGTATTTGGTCCGGGATCTCTTGGAGCTTGGGGGTAGGGACGGCTTGTCGTTCGCTCTCCTGTCCCTGGACCAGGAGAAGGCATTAGACAGGTTGGATCACGGGTATCTCCTGGGCCCTGTTTTGTGGGTTTTCTCTGGGTGCTGTACACCCTTGCAGAGTGTTTGGTCAGGCTCAACTGGAACCTGACCAAGCCAGTCAGCTTCGGGCGGGGGGTACGTCGGGGTATCTGCTGTCAGGCCAGTTGTACGCTCTGGCGATCGAGCCCTTCCTCTGTCTCCTCCGTAGGAGGTTGACGGGGTTGGTGCTTCGGGAGCCGGAGCTGCGGCTGGTCCTGTCGGCGTACGCCGATGACGTGCTCCTCGTGGTCCAGGACCCGGGCGACCTGGCGCGGGTGGAGGCTTGCCAAGCCGTCTACTCGGCAGCCTCCTCCGCCCGGGTCAACTGGGTCAAGAGCTCTGGCCTGGTGGTCGGGGACGGGTGGCGGGCCGGCTCCCTCCCACCCGCGCTTCAGGCCATCAGGTGGAGCGCGGGTC